AAAACAAACATAATACAAAGGACATTACAAGCACAAGCGAAAACAAACATAAACTAAATATGTCTAGATCACACGCGCGTAGAAGAATCTGGCATGGATGAAGTTTCCAGTCGCTGCAAAGGTCCAGACAATTGCGTGGACCTCCCCGTCGTCTTTGGTCACGACTTCTTGGTGCACAGCTACGATTGGACGACGCTCGTGAACCACAATTCCCATCTTCGGAAACGAGTCACGACAATGCTTGTACACAAAGAAGGGCTTTCCATTCCAGCTTTCACGCCCTTCAAATATGTATTTGACGGCGCCGCCGCCGCCACGGGCAAAACAGTAAATGTAAACGTTGTCTTCAGTCAAAACTGAATCACGATGCCCCTGCCACAGTTCTCGGAAATCACTGAGCTTGATGGCGTCTTTGCCACTCTCTGGGATGAAGGGTATTCCATGACCACTGCGGTCGTCATGACTATTGGCTCCATCCTCTGATGTTTATTCTTCTGATGATAGTTACATCAAGCTGCATCTCTTGCCAGAAGTTTCAATCCTCTGACGCTGCCAGGAGCGACTCCGTCGGGCAGATAGGTCGAGGTTTGAAACAGAAAGAAGAAATACCATATGGCACATATATGGGTTGAACTGTCATTCCTCTGATCAAAAAGTTCCAATCCTCTGATGGTTCAATCCTCTGATGTTACCAGGAGCAACTCCTTTCAGCAAACAGGTCGAGGATTGAATATCGATTCGAAACCACTCGTTGTTGAGCCAAATAATTCACTTGCAACTGTGCATTCATGGTTGATCACTTCAAGTTGTTAGACACTCAAATCGAATCAAACCTTATATAAAAAATTCGTATTGAGGTTCAATCACTGAAATGCCAACCTCTAGGTTAATATAACGAGACGATGCAACACACCGATCAATGTCAAATTGCTATGCGCAAAATCCACACGCTGCCCCGGATAGACCGAAACGAGCCTGCATGCCAAAGGCAGCTGCCGCTGCATTGGATCACATCCTTGGCCGGTGCAATGAGACCATATATAGACCAACAGATGGTCAATGTATAAACAAAACCTGAAAAACCAAGTCAACAACTTGTACACAATGCCCCCCAAAAGCATTGAACAGTCGATACTGGTCTATCAAAAACCACAACACAGATTGAGTTCATGCGCTCACGTCAAACGGCCTGAAAAATAATACAAACAAAAACCAGGACTCCTAATTCAATTCAAAACAACTCTTTGAACATGATGCCGAACCCACCCACTGTCTCGAATGACCCGAAGCGAGCCTGCGTGCCAAATTCAGGCAGCTGCCGCGGCATTGGATCACATCTTTTGGCCGGTGCAATGGGACAATATAAAACAAATGATGGTCAATGTACTCAAGACCTGATCAAACAAAGAAGTCAACCTTTGTGAAGACCAAAAACCCGATTCAATTAATCATTCTTTTGAAGGCTTCGAAACCACAAAAACATGTGTTATTGTATATAGTTTGGTGACCTTTGGTGGTTCCCTGTTTACATGCCTGCGTGCTTGAGCGTCGTTCTGGCATCTACGGTGGTTCATTGCGAATATCCCATGTGTTTAATGCGCTGAATACACGCCCACCAATCTGAATCCAATCAATATATGTATACTTGGAGCATCGAAACAAAATGTTTGGAACACATATGTTCGGAACATCGAAACAAAGCCAAAACAAGTATAGTACGTGTTTGAAACGTATGTATGAAGTACTGTGCCTACACATGAGGATGCGAGCACGTGTGGCCCGACACCACCTTGATCATTGAATTTAACATCAAAAAAACAAATTTTGATAACGATATACAAAAATATATCTTGATATATCTTATATATTCCACTTACTAAGTTCGACCGGTCGAACTTACTAAGTTCGACCTGTCGAACTTATAAACATAGATACTAAGTTGGATAACCTCAACTAAAACATATATCGAACTTACATATCTTAAGATAGTAAGTTCACATTAAGTAGATCATATGTTCGCTATCTTCGCGTTGGACTTACTAAGTGGTTATATCATCTTAGTAAGTACAGACAGGAACACAAGTGCACATAGGCAGCATAGAGGCGAACTTAACACGGTTGCAAGTTAGTTACCACATTTGCAACCAGCTTATACCTAAGTTATAGTCTACTTATATTCGGTTAGTAAGCTGGACAACGAGGCTAACTACTTACAACCCCAACCGCACATCCAAGAGAAGCTTCGGCCACGGTGGCGCGGGCGGTGACTCCCCTGGAGGACGCATTGAACCCCTTCCGATGCCAGAGTGCTCGGAAAGTGGCGATGGGAAAACGACCAGCCTTTGTGGCCACCATGGTCGCTTTGTTACGTTGGCCGGACAAGATGCTCGCAAGATCCCTGGTTTTGGGCTTCGACATTGTGGGCGACATGGAGCACTCGGGAGTTTTTCGACCCATTGTCCAGGAAGGAAAACTATCCCTGGACCAGTGGTTGGGGACGGCAGCCGAGGCTGACCTAGATCGCCTCCTTCGCACCCGCCCTCCGGAGCATGTCCAAGACATCCTGGACTTGACTAACGATGAGATTGAAAAAGAGTTTTGCTCTCCTTTGCGCACCGCACGGGAAATGGATGATCTTTTCGGTGTTGGGGGGTGGAGGTTCGTGGAACGTTTCCTCATCATCCAACCGGATGGGAAGAAACGAGCCATTGACAACGCTCGGAAAAGTGGTCATAATGCTCATACAACAATGCACGAAACGATCTCAACTGTCAATGTTGACTTCTGTGCTTCAGTAGCCCGTATGTTGCATTCTGAAATGCCCTTTCCGGTAGGCTCACCTCCCGAGTGGCTTGACATCCGTCTGGGCACGGATGATCTTCCCGACGCTTACCGGGGCCTGCCCGTCGCTGACTCCCATCTTCCATTCTCTAATGTTGCGATTTTCGTTCCCTCATTGGGCTGGAGATTTACATGTATGTGGGGTCTAGCTTACGGTCTTGAAAGCGCGGTGGTGAATTTCAATCGCTTCCCACAACTTGGTATTGCCATCACCCGTAGATGTCTCTTAGGGTGCTCAGCTGCATACTTTGACGACGAGCTATCGGTGGAGTGCATTCGCGACAGCGATGTCTCCCAACCGAGCCTCCAGTTAGTTTTCAGGCTGTTGGGAGCACCGCCCCAGAGCTCCAAAAGTTTTGCGCCAGCACCTAATAGACATTACCTCGGGACTTCAGTCCACGTAGGAGACTTTGTCTGGTTAGGAGTCATTAGATTCCAACCAAAGACCTCCACTACAAGGAAGGTCCAAGCCAAGCTCCACGAGGCTATCGCTACCCGACACCTTCGGCCAGATGATGCGGGGAAGCTTCGTGGCGACCTCAACTGGCTATTCAGCATGTGCGCAGGGCAAGCTGGCCGCTTCGCAGGGCCAGTGTTGGCCGCCAAACAGCACGCTGCCACTCCTGAACTAGCAGACGCTGAGGTCACTACTTTACACCTCCTCAGTATCATGCTTCACGAAGCCAGGCCCCGGGATATTGAGGTGTGCTCAGCCACCAAATCCCCCCTGGTAATCTATTCTGATGCCTCTTTTGAAAAGGGCACCTTGCGGGTAGGATGGGTACTCATGACATCGCCTCCTTTGGGAGTGTCATGCCTGGTACCATCCGAGGTGACTGATTCATGGATTGAACGTCACCAACAGATCTACCCCGGCGAAACACTTTGTGGACTCCTCGTGCCGTGGGTTCATGGTGATATCCTTGCCGGTCGTGATCTCCTCTGGTTCGTTGATAATGAGGCCGCAGTTTCCTCATTAATTAAAGGTTCCAGTGGACAAGAAGACGTTCATGCCATTGTCCAGTTAGCTCATTTGATTTTCCAGAAACGTCAGATTCGACCTTGGATTGAATGGATCGACTCCGCCAGTAACCCTTCTGATGGTTTGTCCAGGTTGGGTATCGAGGACGAATGGACCCGTACCCAACCATGGCGACTGTGCGAATTGTCCTTCCCAGTCGAATTATATTTTGTTTCTCGGCCTACGGACCTTCAACCTTTCCTCTCCTATTTGAACAGTGGGTGATATTTTGACAGTGGGTGATCAGGTATGTTCATCAAAGATGACATAAAAAGCTAGTCTGT